TTAAACCTTTCGATTTGTAATAGGAGCAAAAACCAGATTTGTCAAACTTTCTGCGAGTGACATACGTGCACCAACTTCAGGGCTGATTAACCCTTTCACTGGTTGCTCTCCAACCGCAACAGCTCCACCTACCTGAAAAACAATTAACACCAAGTTTGCCCAGCTGTTCTAACACTTCTTACAAAGAAAACGAACTCTATCCCAGTAAGATAAGGCAACCACTGCTACATCCGCTACAGGAGTTTCTAAAGGGCCTACACATTGTTGTTGAGCTATAAGACCAGTTACGGAACGGTCCACCTGGAATTATATGAATGTAAGTAGGCTTAGATGCTTTCTTCCATTGTAATCCACCCATATTTTCAATTTACTGATGACGAGTCGACAAAATTACTAAAAATACAAACTTTGTTAGTAAGATAGCGTTTTGACGATACCGAAGGCAGCCGTAAAACAAGCGATAGGGCATCCATAACTGTTAATTTATAGGGTATTTCCAGAGGTCTCAACACGCTTTTTACCGACGTTAACGAAAAATTCTGTAATTGCTAGGGTTTGGAAAAACTATTGAGTTATGAAATTAACTTTCAAAATGAACCATAACCTTTGGAGGCCTCTCGCTTGATCCACAGGGCATGTTGAAGGGGACTGGGAGACACTTCATTCCACTGTAATCCAGCAATGTGATCTGCAAAAATTCAAGGAGATAACAAGCTTATATTTCAAGAAATTAAAGATTTGACACTTTGCAATTTATTTGCTAGCGTTACTGGTTACCATCTGACTGGTATTCAGTTGCCCGATGAAAGATACGTTACACCGCTCGCGTTTGGCAATTAGTTCTAGAGTGGCTTTACGTTCAGGATGAATAATTACAGCATCATTTTCTTGATATTCAGCAGACCATAACTCGCGGATTGACAAAGTGGGATCTCCCAGACAAAACTTGTTAGCTTCAATGATCACACCGACCTCACTCCCAACTATTTCTTTCAAGACGTTCCCTATAAAAAATGACCGCTATTGTACCTTTATCACCTCCTGCAATACTGCGCATCACTATCATATCAAAGTCTATAAAGAACCAAAATCCGACAGACAGTACCGTTCCCACCAGCTCCCTGATCATGGATGGAAATGATAGGATTTTCATCACCCAACTCAACGCACCCTCGAATAACCCGATGAAGTTTTTGTTCCATTTCTGGATCGCCTCTCTGCACAGCACCATAGTCCAGTGCACTAGCACGATCTTTATGACCTGAAATAGACAAGGAATAAAAAAAAATTGTGCAAATGCAAATGACTTGAAAGGAATTAACTCAACCTTGAATTTGCACAGAACTAGCAGTACCACCCCCTACGCCGACTCTGTAAGCAGGTCCACCAATCTTCGCCAGCCACATTCCTGGTTCTGGTAGTAACTTTTTTACTTGACTGTCCTCGATAGCTCCAATGCCACCAGAAAACATGATAGGCTTCACATACTCATACCGTTCACCATTAGCCAATTTTTGTCCGAAAACGCGCACGAAGCCACAAATTACTGGCTCACCTAGATAAACGCGAAGGATACAGAGCAGGGCTTAACGGCAAGCGAAAAATAGTAAAATATTTTCTCGCTTTTTTAACCAGTGTGGGTCGATAAGTAAATAAATATAGTGAATAAGGGAGCAAGGAAATAAATAAATGGGCATATAAATGAGTAAATAAGTAGATAAAGAAAGAAATAAATGAGTTCATGAATAAACAGATAGCTAGCTGGATAGAGAGACGGAAGAATCAATGAATTAATTGACTGGTTAGGCATACAGATGACCTACCAAACTTGTTACCGTAGTCACTCGCTCCATTACTTGCTTCAATCAATATCTATAAGAAGAAACACACTAGGTTATTCAAGGCAAGATTTTAAAATAAACCACTACTTCTTAAGAACAAGAAAATTTATAATAACATTGTAAACAATTTGTTTAGAACGAGTAAAGCAGACAATGTAGCATACTTCTCTCGGACTAGCCATATTCTGCGGATAATCAAAATTATCCTCCCATCCAAATGTGTAGCCGTCCAGACGCAGGTTGCCAACTGAATAACCAGCGACTCCAGCGATCTCATGTGCCCCTTAAAAAATAAACCTACACTTATTTCAAAGCAAGTATGTGCGAATAGTTCAGGATTAATATGAGAAAAAATTCGATACCACGTCCAGTTGCATGAATATCCCTAATTCTACCGCCAGTACCAGTAGCCGCTCCTGGAAACGGACACACACCTGCAAATTGACTACTGGTTTGCCTAAAAGACGGCTGAAAGCAGCTCTGCAAAACACAAGAACTATTGATTGCAAAACGCAGGAGCTGTTCTAATAATACTAGTTGGAGGAAAAGTAGAAACTAGCAACCCTACCTGTGGGAAAATTGTGCGTTTCAGCAGAATAGATTATATGACGAAGAGATGGAAAATAATCAAGTTCTGCAAAAATCACTGGATTCACAGATTTCAAGCAGTACGTCTCAAACCCAGTGATAGCACTGAAGTGGACAGAGTCACTCCAAATAAATCGATATCCGCATAAGCAATGCATTACTACAGAAACCTAACCTGCTGTTATCTGCGAATGCAATTACGTTATTTCGATTGGAGTACTCCTGAGTACATTTAATAGATTTAATTAAAGAATTCCTCCTTTCTTTGCCGTCGATAATAAGTCTTCCCCTTGAAAACAGAAATCCAGTGTAAAATATTCATAAGAAACGCACAGGCAGACTTAATCATTGAAATTTAGGCTAGGAAATAAGTAAACCAGTACGGGTGATTAGAAACTAAGTCGTAAATTTATGCCTGAAGAACGTGTGTCTACTGTGTTCGCTGTTCGACTGAGCCAAATCATACATCTCCACATCAGTTGGGTTCCGGTTGAGCTTATCAACAAATAAATCGTAGTAGTACTCAATGTCATCGTCGTCCAGAGCGAGGCCTTAACAATCATAACGGTCACTGAACTCACTGAACTTTGTAGCACTACATGTTCAATCACATTTAAACAATAACTTTCTTACAAAATGGCAAAATACACGAAAAAATATTAGGAATGACGGTACCTAACGACGTATTCGCCTTTCTAAGGTTATCTTTTGAAGTAATTATATCGATTTGATAATAATTTTCTGGAACACAGCAGCTAGCGAAAGATGTATCCAGATCATACACACACTCCATCATACGATCGTGAATTAACGGAAGAATTTTTTCTCTATCAAAAGTCCTAGAAGGGCAGCGAATCCGATAACGCTTTGAAACCTCCATACGCTTCAGACCAACTATCCCAGCAGCTTTGCAGACGGAAAGTGCATTGGTACAGAATGGTGTTGTAAAAGTCAAACTGGAAGTACGTTCAGTACACTTACCATCCTATTAATTTAAGCTGTTTTACCTACATCTTTTTTTCTAAGAAAGAAGCTGCTGGACTATCATAGTTGCTTCAAGTACAAAAAATGCTCAGGCTCGTCTAAAGATTTAGGAACGCACTATCTAGCTGACAGAGAAGGCAGAAAGTGATACCGTGGTCCAATTTCGATGACTTCTGACTCATTTAAAAACCTCGACTGCTTCCTCAACCCTTTACAGGAGAAGTTCTCTGAAATCAACCAGCTAAGGGGTTCATAGTATAGCTTTTCAAACTCATCTTTACAGCTAGCTTCAACAATAAGATGGTAACAGTTTTCCACGTCGATTGTCACGTCCGACGAGCAGCTGCCAAAAATAGCCGCCTTCCGGACTGTTTCAACTCGATGCAGAGTTGTTGCGGAACAATCATCGACAAAGTAGCGATAATGAAACATTTCGTTTAGAACTACCATCGCATAGAGAAAGCAACAAACCTGAAAAAGGTTTAACACATATGGTTGCTACGAAAGGAAAGATACAGAATGTTTTTTTTTCGAACTCAAGTAAATACTAAAATAAGATAAGACAAAAGCATCCAACGAAATCATGTATACGAATGAAAAAAGAAGCTTCACATCTCCCCATTATTTCCCATTCCCAAACTGAACAGTTGATAAACCAAATAATCAGCGCATTTGCTTTCACAGCACTGACAGCATCCGACCTTCTTTCAAATAATTGTCCCCAAATATCTTTATACTTTATGGCGGTCAAAGTTGACAAAAAAACGATATACCTGTCAAGAAATTTCACAGTCCATATTGTTGTTTTGCTGTCACTGCACCAGCTCCTTAGAAACCGAAGGCGGTTATCAGTTTCGCACCTCCAACAGCCGCCATAATTACTATACTGACATTTATAAAGGTGGCTTACACTTTGCCATTTTCATTGCCCTATTCTCACATTGGATACATATCCTCGTGACTGTGGGCTACCTGCTCTGCTAATGCTTATGGCCAAATGTCTCCAACGAAACACTGCAACTACTGGCAGCTATTTCCCTTTGTGTACCGCTTCGATTCTTTGACTAAAACTGACTTTTATAACCATTCTACCTTTAAGAATGAAATTTCTTTTTATGACCTGAGTTCTAGTGTAAAATTTGCAAGCAGACACTCAGTGATCTACCTATATAAATAAAGATGGTCCTCTAAACTTTGTTCGCTCATGAGGGGATCAATGTGCTTATTACTTTCAACATAAATACACGTGCTTGCAACGAACTATCTCCCTTCAAGTCTTTTAACACATCCAGCAGAAAAAAATAAGTCTTGCTCTAACTTCGAGAAACTGCATTGCTGAGATACCGGTACCCTTCCCAATGTGAAGACCTACAAGTTCAAGCAGTGCAGAAACTGCCCGCTCGATGACCACCTTACTTGCAGTAAAATGATACACCCGTAGCAGTTGCTTGAACAGCGGTTCCCATCAACACGAATCATTTGCAAAGCACTAATCACCAAGGACGACCTCAGATACTAGAAGCAACAGTGAATAAACCTGTGCTCAACAATTTCATTCAGCCTAATTGTTCTTTAAACCAAAGAGTTATCATTCAAACTCTGTCATCCTCGACCATCCATACCGAGCACTATGCCCCTCTACTTGCGAATGTACCTGCACGCCAAACAAGCACGAAAAGCTAATTTAACCATCGACTAATTCTATCTTGCTATTAACACAAAATTCTCTCAGTTGTGAAATCATGCAAAAGATCTGATGTTTTTATCACTCTTTAATTGTTCAAAGATCTTTGGATGCTTATACACATCATTTACATATAGAAATAAAAGGGCACAGTTTCATCAGAAAACAACATAGTGATTAAGAAACAATTAAAGAATGAGAGACAAAATTTTGAGTTCCGCGATAAAATATGAAAAACACTAAAAGTCATATCGAGGAAGAAGAGCTCCATGGGACCTGAACTGCAGCAAAGAATAAATTAAATAATTTACATAGTTTTCAAATAGGAAAAAAGAACACACGACCTTCCCGCAATCTACAAGTAGTAGTACAAGCAAAAGTTCATACGGCAAAAGCAGAAACACTGAATGAGACTATCTGTAAGACTACCCTTTGAAACCGTCCAGATCTGACGGTCTGACATTGAGCACCTTTGCAAGTAAATCTCTTTGTTCTTGAATATGAGTATACTTGTTTCCTGTTGCTGGTGAAGATGAGGGTTGCCGTCCAGCGTATTTAATCGTTCTCTGCTGCCTGAAATAGACGTGTAATACAGGACGCAATCAAGACTGCTAAACACAACTCGAGGTGCAAAAACAACGACCTCAAAGTGATAAAACATACTTGGCGAGAAGCGAGTTGAAACGTGGATGGATGAAGCCCCAAGCTCCCATGTTTTTATGTTCTTCCTGAGCCCAGATGAGTGCAGCGAATTTGTACTTTGAGCACTCGGCTTCAATGCGATCGTAAGGGAATGGACTAATTTGTTCGACACGACAAATTGCAATATTGGAATTTAATCCAAGATGTTCCCGTGCTTTACATAAGTCATAATAAACTTTGCCTTAAAATGGTTGGCAGATGTAGCTTTCTTGAAAAAGCCATCTCAGGGAGGAAGAGCAAAAAGTCAAAAAATAAAGTCAGAAAACTATTATGCTCCCAAGTACCTGTGCAAAAAACGAGTCTGTTAACCTGGTCCGGGCTTTTTTCTGCCTCCCCCGTTTCTGGAATTGTGCGACAAAACTTTGTCTCAGGCAAAAAGTCATCAATTTTGGAACGAGCCATGGGGTGACGAAGTAGTGACTTAGG